CACAATATCAGGGAAGTTTTCTGCCAACAAATCTTCAACAATTCTCTCTGTATCTTCTGTTATTCCCCCCTGTTCAGGCACTCCAATTACTCGCTGGTTACTCCTCTTGATAGAGTCCCACATAATTCTTAGGGTTTCTTCATTTTTTAAAATTCTTTTATCTGATTGTTCCTCAAATACGTTGGTGTCAAGTGCTTTATCTTCAATCTCACTAATTCTGACTTCGACTGCCTCAGTTCTGCTCCTATGACTTTCTATTGAGTTGTCTAATTCTGAAATTTTATTGTTAATCTTATGGATTTCTGATTGCTGTCTCTCTATGGATTCTTGCAGCCTGTTAAATTTGTCATTATGCTTTTCTATAATCTTCTTAAGTTCCTCTACTGCTTTGTCTGTGTGTTCCTTGGCTTGTACTGCATTTTGCATGATCTCCTTCCTGCTCTCTTGAAGAGTTCTCTTACTAATCTTTTGTATTCTACCTCCAGTAATTCCACGAAGTTCTCTTCCTCTGGAAAATTTCTTGATTCTTTGTTTTGGGAGCTTGCTGAAGCAGTCAAGGTCTGCCTCTTCATGTGATTTGATATTGACTGTTGTCTCCGAGCCATCAATAAGTATTATATTTGTTTATTTTATGTTTGCTTACTGTGTCCTAGCTTCTTGTTTTGTTTTGTTTTTATATGCCCAGATAGGCTGCTTGTGTGCGTTAGTTTGATTATTGGTACTTTTGAAGCTCTAATGTCCTGTCACCAGGTCATTAGATCCATTACTAGGTATTTGAGCCCAGGAGTTCATTTACTTGTCTTGTACGGATTCAGCTCAGGTGTCCAGGTAGTTGGTCACCAAGTTTGTGGTACAGGTTCTCATCTACTATCCTAGACTGGTAGGGGTGATTGGAGTAGGCACAGGTATTTGGCTACAGCAGGGTGTCATGTGCTGAGCAAGGCAGGTGGCTGATGGCTGCCCCTGAGTGTCTGGGAGGAAAGCGTGTCCCTGTTCCCTAGAGTGCATAGGTGGGTGGGTTTTGCAGCTAGACTATGGGCACTCAGTGCTGTTGGCTGTAAGGACTGGGAGGCACCACTTATTCTTGGACCCCTGCTGCAGGTGGCTAGGTGGCGTGGGTGGAGCCACCAGTCCTCAGCCCATGATGTAGGTAGGTTAGGACCCGGCTTAACAGCAGAGCATTATCAAATGTCACGAACCTGCCTCTCCACCATATAGCTGATACAGTGAAGTTAGGCTTCAGGTATATACCCTGTTGTACTGTGCTATTGAGGGCCTACTTGTTGAATGGATCCACACAGGTCTGTGCAGGGGTGAAAGGCATTCAAAGTCTGTGGACCCCTTATGCCTATGCCTAGGCAAAGGAGCTGTGACTGCCTTGAGGTCCCAGCTTCGGAGAGCTGACAGATTATTTTTTCCCCTGTTTGTTAATTTGTTCCCTCTTCAAGGCTGGGAGAATGGCTCAGGGTGCATGATGGGTCCTACTTCCAGCCCAGGGGATGCAGCCATCATCGAGGCTGGCCAGGACCCACTGCAGAGCAGAGAGGGAGCAGGTAAATTGGAGAGAGGTTCTTCCCAAATGGGGTGTTTTTTGATCTGCATGGTAGGTTAAACACATGTACTTATCTTTTGCCAATTAAGTACCACTTTTCACTGGCTCTGGAGGCCTGAGCAGGCTCTCCACTGCTTGGTCTCTCCCGACGTAGAAAACACATCCCAAGTGCCACAGCCCGCCTCACTGCACATGCCAAATGATCCGGCCTGCAGGGCGTCGGCTCCCTCCAGGTCAGGTCTAACTCCTCACTGTTTCTGAACCGTCTCTCCCTCCCCTTGCCACTCAGTGTGATTCCTCAACTTTGCTTTTGATGTTCAGGGCTCCTAGATTGTCATATATAGTCAATTCACTTGTATTTTTGGGTTTTTATTGTGAGTGGGACCACTGGAAACGTCTGACTACTCCGCCATCTTGGCCCCACCTCTGATTTTTCACTCTTGAGTACAAATATTGCGACAAAAACTGACAGTGGCAAAATATGTAAAACAGTGAAATAATTACTGTTCACAATAGCCTTACTTTACATATGTACCATAAATATTTGTCTTTTAAGAAGACTCATATCTACAGCACCCAAATTATTGCAGATTCTAATTCAGTTTGGGGTGTGGTTTAATGTTTTTACTATATTTAAAGAAATGTCCTTTCAACACTAAAGAAAAATCAAGTTAAGTATGGTAAGAGAACAGGGCTCTAAATTCTTATCTGAACCACCTGACTTACCATGTGATGCTGTGCATGTTATCCTAAATGTCTCATCATCAACATCGCTGCTAAGAAGCTTCCTAACCTCGTGAGGTCATGATGTGAATAACAAGGGTGAGTGTAAGACGCATGCGTGGGAACATATGAAAGTGAGATTTTAAAGAGCCAAACCTCTTCCTCATTTTTAATATAGTAATAACTAGCATGACTAATAGTAATGTAACTGCTATCCTCCTCATGTATGTATGAGGCTATTAAGTTTACTAAGTGCTTTGATACTGTCTTATTAAATCTTCATGGCTGCTATTTATTCATATTCTTAACATATAATTTTCAGTGCCTTCAGTGCTGTGCATTATTCTTAAAGCCAGTTCTACAGAGGTTGAACAAGCTCAGGGAGGTTAAGTAATTCACAACCACCCTGCTTTCTATTCCTTATCACTGCATAGGATGATAGACTACTTTCTGCTAGAATGTTAATGATTAATAACGGCTTTATGTTTTCTGCTTCCCAAATAATAAGAACATTTTAACCTAAACCTTTAAAAAACAAGCTGCCATTGAGTTGATTCTGACTCATGGAGACTTCATGTATAAGTATCAGAGTAGAACTGTGCTTCGTAGGGCTTTCAACGGCTGATATTTCAGAAGTAGACCACCAGGCCTTTCTTCCAAGTTGCCTCTGGGTGAACTCAAGCCTCCAACCTTTCGGTTAGCACCCAAATGCATTAACCCTTTGCACTACCCAGAGACTTCTAAGCTTTTAATACTTCCCAAACAATCACAGCCAAATGGAATGAGTAATGTAACAGACAGATTGAATAGAAATTTGGTGAAAATGGAAAGGGAGAGGATGCACCAAAGTTTGAGATGCCTCAAATCATGTGAGGCCAGTAACTGCCTGACTACTCTGCTCACACTTACAACTGATTCTAGGTAGAAACAAGGTCATATCTATTTCCTATACGGGCTAAGTGGCCAATAGTGGAGTCTAAAAAAAGGTTGTTACTTCTGCATGTGATAGTGTGCTGTGATCCCCTCCTCCCCTAGACTCTGTGCAGCTCCCACAATATCATTAATTACACTTCTCTGGAGAAGCATGGTGCCCTTTCACACCCCACCCAAAGCATTCCCTGAAAATTGTTTCCTGAGCTAGTGCAGGCAGACAAGTGAGACCAAATGATTCAAGCAGTCATTTGAGTGTAGCTAAAAAAAAAAAACCGTTTCCTTCAAATGATCTGGGAAATAGGTATTTTTCTTCCTTCTACTTTGTTCTGGAGATGGTTAAGTGGAAAATCTTCCTCTCTCTGCTAAGTGAACAAATTTATTCACCATTCCTAACCTGAGGCAAAACTGCCACTCATGCTACCCTTCGCTCCATCTCTGAGTTACCAACCCTCACCTGGCAGAATTGTCCTAAACTCCTGGCAGCTCCAATGAGGCCCACTCATTGTATAGCCACACAGACGATGAAAAATGAATCTGGACCAATTTCAGGATAATTCTGGTAAAACGTGGAAATTCAGACAAGATAGGAGATAGGGCACAATTTCCCCAGATTTAGCTGTCTACATTAACTGAATTTACAAAATAATTGTTTGAGTCTCAAAGACACCAACTATTTCTCTGATCCATGATATCTAGCGGCCTTCAATGCTTCACAGCCTTCTTTTTGACTGCACAGGGCACATGCAGAAAATGAAAATCTTTGTATAATTCTCTGGTGTAGCCTGCTGAGACCAGCCCCAGGTGCTCAGGCCACTTAAGGTCCTGATTGCTCAGACACTAAGAAGGCTGAGGAAATCAATATTGTGGTAACCAGTTAAGAAGCTCAATCCTTGTAGCCCACAGCTTAATGTCCTCTTACCAAGGTGCTGTCTCATCTCATCCTCTGCTCAGCCAATCCACTTGGTCTTGCTTCCCCACTCAACTCACTGTCAATCGAGACAGCCCTTCCTTCCAGGGAAATGGCCATTCACCTTCCCATCCCACCTCACGCCAAAGGCTAGTCCATTCATACCCTTTTCTTCATTCTAAGGTGAACTATTCCTATGACTTAAAATGCCCAAGATTCTGACTTAAAAGTTTATCTTTAAAATTATTCTCAAAAACAAACATGATTTTCACAAGAAACACAAATGTTTTCAGTTCCGGCCCTCTTCTCCTCAGCAATCTCATCTTCCTCTTCCCCATTGAGCCAGAGCTCAAGGGGACATTTCTCTGGTGGAGTGTTTCTCTGTGTGTGGCCTGGAAACTACCTGCCTGGTGGGGGTGGGGGGGACTGTTTCAAAATGCAAATTTCCAGCTTCTCCCTCCCTTTACTAAATTATAATCCCTGAGGGTGAGGCACGGAATTGACATTTTAAACCAGCTCCCAAGGTAACTGTTCCAACACACTTCCACACCAGAGTTTGAGAGGTTCTGATTTAAACCAGCTCCCTCCTTTTATAGAGACGGAAAGTAGAAAACGGGCACCTGAGAGGTGAAACGGGCTTGGCCAAGGTCAAAAACCCGTTCGCGTGGAGTCGATTCCGATTCCGACTCTTAGCGACCCTAAAGGACAGAGAGCTGACCCATAGGGCCAGGGCTCCTGTCCAATGTTACAAGGCGTTAAAAGTGACCAGGCCTGGACTGGAACCGTCTCCCTCCCTGATAAGCACAGCAGAGCCAGGAAGAGCCTGGAATAAGGAAGGGTCGGTCTAGCAGCCCGTGCGCCGGAGCGCCCGGCCCCTGCACTCACCCGCTTGTACACGTCCTCCCGGCTGGCCTCATACTTCTGCTGCATGCGCTCCTCCAGGAAGTAGATGCGCAGCTTGAGGCTGAAGTTCTCTTTCTTCAGGTCATTGAGGTGCTGGGACAGAGTGCGATATCCATTAGACATGGTGGGCAACCCATGGGGAGGAGCATGCCGAGTCGCCCCGTCACCCCAGGAACATAGTGCAGCTGCACCACGGCATGAAGTAAGCCGGCTGGGACGCTGCTGAGGCTGCGGGGACGCGGGGCCTGGGGCTACCGCGACATGGCCCTGGTCGCTGGTGATCTCTCAGGGACTCCAGGGACGAGGCTCACTTGCTCTGGGTGCTGTAGCGCAGCGCACTTTCCTTTTTTACCTCAGGGAGATATTTGCGGAATCCCTGACAGAGGAACATGCTGCGTGAACTCAGACACAAGTGGTGTAACCCGACTCCAAGCCAGGACTCGTCTGTCACCCTCCTGGAGCCTCCCGGGCCCAACTGCAGGCAGTTAACAGCTTCTTAGAAGAGAGAGGGGACTGACCCCCGAGAAGCTTCCAGGAAATGGGGAAGGGGAGTAATTCAAGGTGATTGGGGGCGGGGGGAGGGTTGCAAAAAAGAGAAGGAAGAAAAGGGGGGATGTGTGTGGTGGGTATTTAAGCTCCTGGTGACTAATTTGGACAATAAAGGCCATAAAGAAATACGGTTGTTATAGAGAACAGCACATATACACAAAATGGCCCACAAAATGGTGGTTGCATGTTAAATATCCCATTTCTGTCAGGTGCAAATCTCAAAGGCTACTAATTAGAGGGGTCTATAAATTTCTTTGATGATCCAAATGCTCTTCTCTAATCAATTCCTTCCCCGTTTCCCTCCCCATGCTTTTCCATCCCTGAGGCAGTTAAATTAGTAGCATTTATTACCATGCATCTCACCCCATACACACCATTGCCACCCCCAAAGAAAGAACAAATCTTCTAGGTCAGTGGGATCTTTGCAAACTCTATGTACTGGTTACGCTAGCTCACAAGGAGGACTGGTCAAGGACTACTCTCTCCATAGACGGGATGGGGGTAAGAGAGGGAGGGAGCCGTCAGCCAGGAGCCCAGAGATTTCAGCCAGTCACTGGCTCTTAACTCAGGCACCTGCCAAGTGGAGCCAAGCACTCATCACCAGATCCTGCTTAAAGCAATTTAAGATCCTGGAATGACAGCTGCGACATAAGCAGGAAGTATTATTTATACCACATCACATGGGACATTGAAGGTGACTGGGAAACAACCCCGCAGCACAGAAAGCGAACACAGGTTCTTGGCTGCACTAATACTAGGTTGGAAACCATTTAACATTAACATTCAAGATTAAGAAAATTAGAAAGTTTACACTTAATTCAAGCACTCACTCACTTCTTCCTCCCCAATCTACCTGCTTTTCATTATTCAAATTCCTTCTCAAACCTTCATAATAATTCCAGTCAACATCTCCTGAGTACCCACCAGGTAGTATGCTGGGCAATAGAGAGATGAAGAAGTTCCAACCCTCAAACAGCTTGGTGGTCATATAGCTGATCATTCATGTTAAGATACGTATTTTACACTATAGACCTCCAAACCTGTGTTTTTCAAACATTTTACATGGCAACCCAGTACACACACACACATACATACACACTTAATTGAAGTACAAGTTTCAAAAAGTAAAACCGTCACTATGTGTGATCCACTGATTTTCTGTTCTATTTCTCTTTCTGGGAGTGATCCACTAAATTGATTGCATGATCCACTAATGGACTTTAGCCTGAAGTTTGAAAAACACTGAATCTATGGGAACGTAGAAGAAAGAGTGAGGAATTCTGACTGGGATAATCAGAAAAATTTTCACTAGGAATTGAACTTGCATTTTGCCATCAAAGATAGGAAAAATTTGAGGAATAAAGTAATCTCAAAACAAAAAACAAAAAACAGTTGCCATTGTGTCCGTTGAGTTGACTTTGACTCATGGTGACCCCAAGTGTTTCAGAGTAGGACTGTACTCTATAGGATTTTCAATGGCTATGATCTTTTGGAAGCAGATGACCAGGACTTTCTTCTTAGGTGTCTCTGGGTAGAGCCACACTGCCAACCTTTAGGTCAGTAGCCAAGTGTTTAACAGTTTGTGCCACCCATAGACTCCAAAGTGACCTCAGGAGGACATAATCAGAATTGAGGATTCTCTCTAATAGATTTGGATTATACGAAGCAACACATTTCTTACCATAGACAGTTGGTAACAAGCCAAAATATTGTCCATTTTTAAAAAATCTACACATTAAAATTTAAATATTTCCATTAAATCTGTGCTCTCAGAATAAATAACTGTTATTTAGGCTTACTTGATTAAATAGAGGCAATGAGGAAAGAGAAAAGTCTTAATTAAAACTCAGAAGACTCTTTTCTGATCGCAGTTCTGGTTACTAAATAGTTGTGTGACGTCAAAGTGTTACTTCTCCTGAGGCCTAACTGTCCTCATTTATTAAATGAGGTGGTTGTGAACTATAATTTTAAGGCTCTTTCCTAAGCTTCTAGAGGGATAGCCTAGTTATTAACACCTCCATTTTGCACAAGGGGAACCAGGCTGCCAGATTCTAGATTAGTGTTTAACCATGCTTTGGCTATCTCCTTGGACTCCCTTATGGTGTAAAATAATTTAATGAAAGTTTTATGGAAAGTGAAAACTGTACATGAATGCAGAGTATTCTTATCCAGCCTATGTCTTCCCCCGCCGCCCCAGTAATTTTATGCCTCTCTTCACTTACGCCCTATGATACTTTGTTTTTCTCCTATCTCTCTGACCCCTTCTCTGTGCTGTTGCCAGCTCCTTAGAGTGCTTAAATGATGATTAGTCTTTCACCTTCTGCTTTTTTTTGCTTCACACTTTCTTCTATAGAGATTTTATCCACTTTTATGGCTGTAACTTCTGCCTCCCAGGTAACTCACAAATCTCCAACTGAATCTTCTCACCCAAGATCTAGCCCTACATATCCAACTTTTTGCTAGATAGTTCAACTTGCATGTTCCATTTTCACCACAAACCTTAAAACCCAGAAACGTTTGCAATAGTCTCTATCACGTCTGCCAGAATCTACTCCAGCCATCTGTGCTCCATATTATAGGCAAAGTAATATTTTCAAACTTAAATCTTACCTTGTCCTCTCCCTTAAAAGCCCTCCAGAGGCATCGCTTCACTCTTAGAATAAAGGGGAAATCCTCATCATATTGCTTGAAGGCACTCTACCTCTTCTGTCAAGTCCTAGTTCAAATCCCACCTAAACAAAACCTTTCCTGCTACCCCAACTTAGAAAGACTCCTTCCTTTTCTGAACCCCTAAGGCAAATATTAGAAGTTCCTGGGTGGCACTAATAGTTAGACACACAGCTACTAACCGAAAGGTAGGTGGTTCCAACCCACCCAGAGATGCCTTGAAAGAAAGACCTGGTGATCTGCTTCCAAGAGGTCATACCCTTGAAAACCCTATGAGGCAGTTCTACTCTGCATGCATGGAGTCACCATGAGTCAGAATTGACTTGACAGCAACTGGTTTGGGCTTGGGTTTGTTTAAGGTAAATATTAACATTTGGTAAGTGTTCATATGCTGCCTCCAGATACTGGTTTTATTGTTATCTTGAAGAGTTATTCACACTCTTTACAGTTATTTAACTTTTCATGTATTTATATCTCTCCAACTGGTCAGTAAGCTGCCCAAGACAAGGATCAATGACTTACATGTCTCTGTATTCCTCTACAGTTCCCACAAGATCCTCTCCAATAACAGTCATCCCACTAGAATGTTTATTGTAGAAAGTTGATGTCTTATTCACTAAAATGTCTAAGTTTATATACCCATCCTGATGTCTTCCCTCACCTCCAGATGTATATCTGACTTTCTAGTAGCATTCTCCACTTGGATATCTAACATAGTTATTTCATACTTGTGACATCTAACACTGAGCTCCTGATACTTCCCGGCATACATGCTCCTCACTCATTGGACCTCAGTTCAATTTGTAGCAACTCAGTGTTTGCCGTTGTTTGGCCCCCAAGCTTTTGAGTCATCCTTGACTCTTCTCTCTTATATACATCATCTAATCTACCTTCAAATTTTATTCTTTCTACCTTAAAATATATAGAGAATCCATCCACCACCACCACCACTGACACCTCTACTACTTTGGTTCATGATGCTATCATAAGTTATCTGAATAGCCCCAGTCTTAGTTATCTAGAGCTGCTATAGCAGAAATACCGCAAGTGGATGGCTTTCACATACAGAAATTTATTCTTCACAGTCTAGTAGGCTAGAAGTCCAAATTCAGGGTGCCAGCTCCAGGGGAAGATGATCTCTCTCTTGGGTCTGGAGGAAGGCCCTTGTTATCAATCTTCCCTTGGTCTAGGAACTTCGCTGCACAGGAACCCCAGATCCAAAGGATGTGATCTGCTCCTGGTGCTGCTTTCTTGGTGGTATCACGTCCCCCTGTCTCTCTGCTCTCTTCTTTCTTTTATATGTCAAAAGAGATTGGCTTAAGACATAATCTGATTTTGTAGATTGAGTCCTGCCTCATTAACATAACTGCCACTAAGCCCATCTCATTAACATCATAGAGATAGGATTTACAACACATAGAAAAATCACATCAGATGAAAAAATGGGGGACAATCACACAATACTGGGAATCATGGCCTAACCAAACTGATACACATATTTTTGGGGGACACAATTCAATCCATGACAGCCCACTAAACTGGTCTCCCAAATACCTCGCTCCCCTATAGTCTATTTGTAGCACAACAGCCACAGTGACCCTTTTAAAATATATATCAGATTACTCCTCAGCTGAAAACCCCCACTGGCTTCCCATCTAACTTAGAGTAAAAGGCATAGTTCTTTCATTAGCCCATAAGGCCCAAGGCCCAGAACGATCTGGGGTCTCTCTGCTCCCTGGCCCCATTATCTCTGTTTCTTTTTTCTTATTACTTTGACCCTGTGCACTCTGCTGCAGCCACACTGTTCCTCCATGCAGTGCTTTTTTCTCAAAAACACCCTTCCTCCTCAGGGGCTTTGAACTTACTGTTTCTTCTGT